CCGAGTGCTGGGATTAAAGGTGTGCGCCAGCAACGCCTGGCTCAAACCATCATTTTCGTAAACAATTTCCTGTGAGTGGATGTTGAAGAATTCTCCAGTTAGTTGCTATCACCCATAATATTCTAGATATTTTTTCTTACACTTTTCAGTGTTTATTGTCAAATATGCAGATAGGGGCTATAATGAGTCAGGTTCCCACCTTCAGATTTTCTTCCATCCATAGTATTATATCTGAAGGTCAGAGAGTATGTCTTATGTTTCTCTGGCCACTATCACAGAGCTGGGGACATAGTAAACACTAAAATGCTTTTGATAAGTGGATTAACAAATTAACCACTCATTCAGTGACGTATCAGTCTCATATATGAAAGCCTTTGTTCTGGGTATAAAAGTTGCATAGAATATCAGCTGCTACTGAGGCATAAATTAAGATGTTGACTAATATAAAATATAACATGTACAGACATGTTACTTCTGAGACTAGAGTTGCCCCCAAAGTCCCAAGAAGTCCCTTGGAATGAACAACTTGACTTGTTTTTCTAAAAATAAGAATAATGTCCCTGAGAATAAGGACCGTGAATTTAAGATAAGAAAAGCCTCTCACCCATTAACTGTTAGGTCTGAGAACTGGAATCATGTCTGAGGAATTGAATCCAGCGCTAAATTTCAAAGTGTCAGAAATTTTCTGGGAAATAACTAATCTGGAAGCTCATTTCAATGGAAATAATAATTCTTTTAATACATCGTTCTCCCCAAGATTGATGGAAAGTTCTGGAGTGAGTTTGCATCCCACAGAGCAATATGTAGTGGAAAGAGAAAGTGACCAGGGTCAAGGCAGGGGTTCTAGTCAAATATCATCAATAACAGATGTTTAACTTTAATTGAGTCATTTCATGTATGGGGCAACAGTTTTCTAACTGTAAAATAAAAATCTGGGTATGGTCAGCATTTCCTAAAATGTGTTCTGCGGAACACATGTCTAATGATCTGTTCCACAAGAGAAAGGGCTTCATAGTTGAACACACTTGGGACATGATGTATCTAATACCTGTATGAGAACTTCACAGGGCACATTACTGCAAAAGTTCTCTGGTTGAGAAATCCATTGAACTTTGCTTATCATCTTTCACTTGTTTGGTTAAAGGAACTCAAAACTACTTTGGAAATCCTGCCTACAATATTAGTCAAGGCTCTCTAGAGTAACAGAATATATAGAGTGAATCTCTCTCTCTCTCTCTCTCCCTCTCTCTCCCTCTCTCTCCCTCTCTCTCCCTCTACACACACACACACACACACACACACACACACACACACACACACACACACACACACACACACACGATTTATTAGAATGTCTTACAGGCTGTGATCTAACTGGTCCAACAAAAGCTGCTTATGAACAGAAGTTCCAAGAATCCAGTAGTTGTTCCATCCATGAGGATGAATGTCTCAGCAGGAATCCCGAAAGATGTAGGCTTGAATGCCAGTGGAGGGGGGGAAGGGGCTTGTTAGCAAAGAAGAGGGGAAGCAGGCAAAAAGAGCCAGCTTCCTTCTTCCATGTTTTTAATACAAGCTGCCAGCAGACCGTATGGTCCAGGCTAAAAGTGGGTCTTCCCACTTCAAATGCTTTGCTTAAAAGTTGCTCACATGTGTGCCCAGGCATTGGGTTTTAGTTCATTCCAGTTGTTGTCAAGTTGGCAACCAAAAATAGCCATCACATCTACTAAAATCTCATGAAGCCACTGCCCTTAAGAACACACTTTGCAGCCAGGCGTTGATGGCACATGCTTTTAATTCCAGCACTTGGGAGACAGAGGCAGGCAGATCTCTGTGAGTTCGAGGCCAGCCTGGGCTACAGAGCGAGTGCCAGGATAGGCTCCAAAGCTACACAGAGAAACCTTGTCTCGAAAAACAAAACAAAAACAAAAACAAACAAACAAAAAAAGAGAACACACTTTGCAGAATAATGGGCTAAGAATCCTTTGAGGTGTCTAGATCTATGGTGCTATTTCCTGTGTGTGTGTGTGTGTGTGTGTGTGTGTGTGTGTGTGTGTGTGTGTGTGTGTGTGTGTGTGGTGTGTTGTGTGCAGGCACTCCACAAGATCTCTAATTGTACCTGGGGCTTATCCAAACCATTCTTCAAGACTAGTTGGCCAGTAAGCCTAAGGGGTACTCCCATCTCCACCTCCCAAGCCCAGTTTTTTACATGGGTGCTGGGCATTTGAACTAAGATCATCGTCTTTGCTCAGTAAGCCCATTACAGACTGAGCTCCCAGCTGCCTATGGTAATATTTTCCTGTGTAAGTGTTCATCCAGGTTCCTCCTTCTGCATTCTTATTTCATAGAGAGTCAGTGTCATACAGTCTGTTTCCCCAGACAGAAACTTGTTTGCCTTTTGTAGAGGTTTCTGTCTCCTTCAGTCTGCCAGGCAATTTTACATGAAAGTCTGCAGATCCCACCTTAATATTTCCCTCACCCAAGCACCCTCCCCACTGCACCCCTCTGCCTCTGTGGTGACCTGTAGCCCAGTTATCCCAACTCTCTTCTCGCCTTCATTCTTCAGTCAGTTTTCTCTGGTATATACATGGCTGTTACTGAGACTAAAACACTTCACAGTTTATTCTTTATGAAGTTCAAACTCCGTAATGTAGCACACTGAGGTCCCTTCTACCATTCCCCACCTATTCGCGCCCTCTCCGCTTCTGTCTGGAGGAAGCGGAATTGCTGGGAAGGGCATGGTGCTAGAGTTCAGGAACCTGCACGGACCTTGTTGCCTTTGTCAGGAATGACTGTTGCCTCCTTATCCGGTTAGCTCCTCCCTGTCATTAAACATGCAGTTTCTCTCCCCACTGGGTAGGCTTTCCTGATCTGGGAATAGACTCAGTTTCTAAGAGTGGCTTCCCTACCTCCTCTATCCAGCAGCCTGTGGCTTCTGAGGGCAGGACACATCAAGTCTTTCTTGTCTTTGCATTCTTACAGCTCAGTTGAAACTCAATAGATCTAATTAGGTGAATTATTTCATGGCTTAATGAAACTGGTAAAAACCCTGCTTATTTTTCTCACTGGTGGAAAGTGACTGTTTTCTAAGATTAGCCTTAACCAACCTAAAAACTCGGGGAGGAGCTGGCTAAGAGCTATCCAAAGAGCACTCAGGAGCCTGTTTGTAAAGGGGGTTTCTGTACAAATGAGGCTCTTCCTTGTAATTCTCACATTCAGTCTAGTAATAGCATTTGGCAACAATAGGCTATTTATTAGGTTTGCGAATCCAGGTGTTTTTATCTCAGCAAACCTAGTCACAAGAGAGTGAAGAGGCTACGGATACATTTGTATGAATTGTTTTTGTTTTGAGACAGGATTTCACTGTGTAGTTGTGGCTGTCCCAGAACTCACTCTGTAGACCAGGCTGGTGTATGAATTATTGATTAAAAATTTCGAAGTATTTGTTATTCACACAAAGATTCACAGTAGATACTGCAGGAGTATGAGGATGAATAAACTTTATGATATCCATCAAGGGAAAAACATAGCATACTAAAATAATAGCATGTAATAAATGATAAATTCAACAAGGTCATGGGAATTGGTCACCTCCACCATTTTTAGGTTAGGAGATGGTGTTATTTACACCAGATTATTGAAGTACCTAATAAACTTAAAATACAGATTGCATGTATTTCCAAAGTACAGGTATCTCCAGTGTAAAACAGCCAAATAATTGTATTGTACAGTTCTAAATGCCAGTTTGGAACAGATTGCGCACCAGGTCGGAAAAGATTGTACAAAAGACTGAAACCATTTGGAAATTCTCAAGAATATCAGGAAGTAGAATGCAATTCTACTTTTGGTCTTAGCATAGAGAAATGAACACCCATTCTTAGAAAGAGCCAGAATTTCAGAATTACATGATTTTGTGGGTGGTGAAAATTCAAAATACAGAAACTGTTAAAGAGCAGATAGGAAGACATGAAAAAAGAATGTGACCATTCAACGCAGCCAGTTCCAGATCATGGTTCAATTTCTTTAATGCTAACAAGGTAGATAGCCAAGTGAAAGGCAATTTAATACTATTTTTCCTTCCCTTCGATCAACTTTACATGAAGGTCATAAGAAGGACGCAAATCGAAAGAAATCTAAGACTGCCTAAGTCGAACCTGCATTAAAATAAGCAGCATCCGAGTAATTTGGAGCTTGGACTCAAACTCAGTATTTACGTGTAATACTCGGGGATACAGCTCAGGGCTAAGGAAAGATGCCAATACTGGGCTGCGAACCGTTTCCATAGGGAAGACAAGAAACTGGGGACACAGACGAACACACTGACGTGAAAAGGTACAGATGGGTGGAATGTCTGATCCCTGAAAGCTTCCCATACACTGCACGAAACTGCAGGATTTAGGACTAAAATGGGATTTCCTAAAGCAGTGCTCCCACATTTTAACAATGGCCCGTGGGTGCCTGAGGCAGCCCGGGGCTGGTTTTGGGAGACTGAGTGGACGGCAGGCAAAGGCGCACAGCCCCGGATCGATCTGCTCGGCGGCCCTCAGTCTCCCAAGACCCTCCGACGGGAGCCACCGGGCCGGCTTCTCGGGAAGGGCCACGGAGGGCGGGACCGCGACGGGATTTTCCTTTCGGCTCATTCATTCTCTGATTCACTGGTTCCTGGAGGCGGTTCGCGGGGACGCGCGCAGGAAAGGCGGGGCGCAGAGGCCGGCCGCGGCTGGGTGCGGCCGGGCGCCCGAGGGGCGGCTGGTGGTGGTGGGCGGGGGGCCAGGCCGCGAGGGGCGCGCGCGTGCGCGCGTGCGTCCGGGCGGGCGGCAGGAGAGGCGCGCGCCGCCGCCCTGCGCCGGAAGTGAGCCGGTGACCGCGGCGGGGGAGCGCGCTGGAGCGCGCGCGGCCGGGCGCGAGTCGGTCCGCCCTTGGGCCGCACGGCCCTCAGCCCCGCCCTGTGTGCCGGGGCGGGACGCGCGGGCTCTGTGATCCGCGCCGCGGGGCTCTGCGGCCGCCCCGCCCAGTCCCCGCCGACGCCCGCTCTGTGGGTCGGTCCGTCCGTCAGTCACGGAGCGCGCGCCGCCGGAGCTGCGGGCGCTCTCAGCGTTCGGGAGGAGAGCGTCGCGCCTGGAGAGGCGGCGGCGACCGGAGGGCGCGAGCAGCTGCTGCCTCGCGCGGGGCCCCGGGAGGGCCGAGGGGCTGCCACGGTGAGTGCTCCACCGCCTGGCCCTCGAGGCCGGGGGGAAAGGAAGGACCCAGGTGCCCCGGGGACGCTGCCGCCTCCATTTTCCCGGCGCCTGGCATGCGCCTTCGGGCGAGTGCGAGCGGCTGCAGTCCGGGGCGGGGTCGCTGCCGGGCTCTCCGCGTTTGGGCTGCACCCAGGCAGGCGGCCTGCGGTGGGCAGGGGGTCGGCGGGGCCTTTTCCCCTACGCCCCTCGGGACTGCACCGTGCAGACAATGAGACCGGGGGGCGCCTGGGTAGGTGCGGCGGGGCTTCTACTCCGCGCTACGCACTGGTGGCCGGGGACCGCGAGCGAGTGGAAAGGGACTGGCCGCGGGTAGCAGCAGAAGCCGGTGGCTCGATGCGGGATTGTTCTAGCTTCCATGCCCTGCCCGCCTTCCCAGATGAGTTCAATGCAGAGATTTAGAAAGGCGGGGCGCCTTCTGTGTCTTCTAATTAAGCCGGCAAAGTAATTGCTCTAGTGCTTTTTAGCCCCATCTCATCTTTCCGCGTACATTCCCGCCGGAAATCCAAACTGCAATTCAGTGGAGGGCGACAGAAAAGGGAGGAGGCTGCCTGCTAGTATCGGTAGGATGCCTTCGTTTGGAGACGCCTGGAAGATACCCTTTTCCCATTCAGACATTGTCTTAGAATGGCCCCACTGTTTGAACTGGAGACTGCTTAATCCTTATGTAGGCATAAAGATGTGACTTAGTGTGAAATAACAGCTTTGGAAAATGATATAGGAGTCGCGTGTTTCCTGTGTGTTGCGTTTCATATATTCTGTGGGAAGAACAGTCTGGGGTGGATGCTGCCCGCAGCATTTCTCGTGGAGAAGTGGAGAGCCACCCAAGTAGGTAAAGTCCTCCGTACAGGAACTGTAAAGGTAGCGGGCTAGGGGGTGAGGCGTGATTCCATTATTAAAGGGTGGCATTGTTTTCGTAAGAATATTAAAGTCAGCAAACAATTCGGGAAACCTACTCAGGTACAGTGGGAGACACAAAACGAACACCTCTCACAACATTGAGTGGCAGAAACGGCGCGTTGGAGCAGAGTAAACCAACGTTCCATACACTGGAATAGGCTAGCAACGTGATAGTGAATAAGCAAGCCATTAACTCTACAGTAGTTCCCTGCAGGGAAACTGCAGTACAGCACCTGTTTACCTTTCCAGCCTGTTGTTAAGAAGGTTGAATGAAATAATGTATGCAAAATTGGTAGCCTCTCTCTGAGTTGCTCAATACATGCTAATTCCATTTTCCTACTGCTGGGGGAGGGGTGTCGACCTTATGGAAGGGTGGGTCAGAAGTGAATATTGGTAACAGTGCATTGTAGAGACACAACGTAAAGCAGTGAAGGAAAGGCTAATTCTGCATTGAAGTCGGGATGGGGGGAATCTATGGAAGCTGCCAGTATATAGGTGAAGCCTTTTAAACGTTTGGATAATATTTCTTTTAAAAATAATGTTTTATTAGCACATGCTGATTTTACATAGCAGTGGGTTTCATCGTATTTTCATACATGTACATCATGTATTTCGATTTCAACAGGACCAGTGGCATTTCAACAGTGTAGAGTAGGAGAGGACGACATTCCACATGTTGGTGGTGATTATCCTAAGAGAGCTGGATTCGGGAGCTAGATAGAGTGGATCTTGCCTGTAGTCTCTGCACTCAGGAGGCTGAGGCAGGAGAATTGCAGTCAACCTGAGTTACAGAATGAGACCCTGTCTGCAAAACCAGCTCCCTCCCCCCCAAAAAATCTGAATTCTCTAGGAAGAAACTTGGAGAAGTGGTCCAATAAGGACACCCTTTAAAAGCCTTTGTTGAGTTTGCTCTTCAGATTGTCTATTTTTTTTTTTTTGTGATATGAACTGATTTCCAGACACCAGTTAACAGACAGCCCTGTTGAAAATGTCTCCAAAGCTTCATGATTTTTTCTTTCTTTTTCCTTCTTTTTCTGCAGACGTTTTGTGGTACTTGGATTGCTACTCACTCCTGTTTGATTTTAGTGAAGAACTATGTGTAACCATATCTTTGTGATGAGTGTTAGCTCTATTTAGTAGTCCACATGGACAGACTCTTCAGGTCTCACTTAGACTCTCAGTGTCTGGCTGACAGTAGTGGAGTACCAGATATCTTTTGAGAATATTTCCACAGTTTTCAATGCTTTGTTTTCTGGCCAGGTATTTTAAACCATTATCTTTGAGGATAATTGTGTTGCTTTTGGTTTTGGTTTTGCTGGGTTTTGGCTCTCTCCAAATAAATAATTAAGTAAATACTTAATGGAAGGACAACAGATTCAGGGTGTACATTTGCTTTGGTTTGGAAGTTGTGAAAGTCAACATTGGTATTATCCCAAACTGTTTCTTTAGGAAAAGTAGTATTCATAGAGTATGATATGCAACCTCATTGACTTCTTAATTTCTTTACCTGTTAAATGAAGAGCTTGGAGTAGATTGCTGGTTTTCATGTTATTTCTTACTGACTACACTTACAGAAAGTACCCAGAGTAGTCAAAGTCATAGGGAAAGGTAAGAAAGTTGCTACTAGAAGCTGCAATGGTAGATAAGAAGTTACTGTTTAACAGGTAGTATTTCTGTTTGGGATTGTGAAAAGGCTCTGGAAATGGACAGTGTAACAGTTACACAATAACATGTTTGGTTTATTTTTTTCCTCCTGGAGGCAGGGTTTCTCACTGAAGTCCTTACTGTCTTGTAACTAGCTCTATAGACCAGACTGGCTTTGAACTCATAGAGATCCACTTGCCTTTGTCTCCAGAGTGCTGGAATTAAAGGCATGAGCCACCACTGCCTGGTAATGTGAATGTATTTAATGCCACTGAAAGTTAACTACTTAGTGCTTAAAATGGCAAAGGTTGTTTTTATTGTTTTGGGGCTTTTCTTTTTAACCAGAATCTTGTCTTATAGCTCAGGCTAGACTAGAACTCACTGCATAGTGCAGGCTGACTTAAGCTAATCACTTTAGTTTGTTTTTTTTTAATTTTCTTAACACAGTAGAGATTCGAATGACCTACAGACTCAAGCTTCCCGAGTACTATCTCTGTCTACTTCTGAGTTTTAAATGAACAATTGATAGGAAACTTAATAGACTGGAGAGTTTTTAAAACTTCAGTTCTGTGTACTGTTTATTCATATAAAAATTGTCTCAACATATTACTATGACTAGTGCACTCTGTTCAAGTAAATAAGCAAAATCAAACATTTCTATGTGGGTGAATGTATTCTATTTAAGTCATTGCTTGGTAAAAGCCACAATGAACATTTAACAATAAGTTCTGATAGCATATCATACTGTTTTCATAGCTCATTGTGTTTCTTATTTTGACTTGTGTCTTAAGGACTGTTGTGCTGTGAAGAGATACTATGGTCAAGCAGCTCTTACAAAAGAAAACATTAAATTGGGGGCTTGCTTAAGAATTTTGAGAAGCTAATTCTGGGGCTAAGGTAGGAGGATACTGAGCTTGAGGACTGCTTCATGAGACTGCTTCAAAACAAAAAGAGTAGTTTAATTTTGATGAAGAGCTTGCATACAATTTCAGAGGCTTGTTCCATTACCGTCATGGTGGGGAGCATGGTGGAGTACAGACAGACATGGTGCTGGAGAAGGAGCTGACAGATTCTGGGCCTACCATGGGCCCTTAAAACCTCAAAGCTGATCCCCCAGTGATACAGTTCCTCCAGTAAAGACACACCTCTTAATCCTTCCAGAGTTTCACTTCTAGAGATTCAGCATTCAAAATATGTGAGCCTATAGGGGTGCATTCCTTCCTATTCAAACCATCACATTGTACTTCCTGGCTCCCATAAGCTTATAGCCATACCATAATGCAAAAATATATTCAGTCCAACTTAAAAAGTCCCCATAGCCAATCACAGACTCAACACCATTTAAAAGTTTCTTCTGAGACTCTTGACAATCTGTAACCCCCTGTAAAACAAAATTAAAATGAAGGTCACATACTTCCAACATACAACGGCACTGGACATACATATATTACCATTCCATAAGGGAGAAAAGGAAGCATAGTGAGGAAATACTGGACTAAAGCGAGACTAAAACCAGCAGCTAAACTCAAAATTCTGCATCTCCATATCTGATCAAAGAGCTCTTCAAATCTCCCTTGTTGACTGAAACACATTCTTTGTTGGGCTGGCTCCACATCCAATCTGCAGCTCTTCTTAGCAGGTATCTCAAGGCTCTAGCAGCTTCAACTTCTTGGGGTCTCCAACACAATCCAGGCTTCACCTTCACAGTTTTGCAAAATGGCCTTTCTGGCCTTCCATGTAGGCACAACCCTGATACACTCCTGGCCTCAGCAGCTTATCGGAGGAAGGAGATTCAATGACCCCCTAACTCGTATCCTTGCCTCTAAAGCCAGAACCAGAAGGCAAAGCTGCCAAGTTCTGCTGCTTGATGGGGCTGGAACTTGGCCTCTCTTGAATAGCATTTGCATCAGCTTTCCATTGCTGATGGTTTCATTTGCTGCTTAAGCTTTCCTCTAATTCCCTTTTACAAATTGGGAGCTTAGCCGGGTAGGGTCTTGTCCTGAATTCACCACTCCTTTTATTCCATTTAACATCAGATTTTTCTTTCAGCCTTTTATCTCCTTGATCACTAGACTTAACTCCATTACATTTACTGGTGCTCCTTTTCTCAAACTGTACATTTTGTATTTCTCTCTGTCCAGCTTGCTTCTTGTCATTATACATCTGCCTAAGAGTAATTACTAATAACCACATGCCACAGTCAATACTAACTGTCTTGAAATCCCTGCCAATGCCATTAATCTCAAGCTCTTCAATTTAGCTTCAGGCAGATTTTTAGAATAAGACAAAAAGCAGCTACCAGTCTTTGCCACAATAACACAAGACTGTTCTCTAGGCTTACTAATATTCTTTCCTTCTAAAATGTCATGTGATGGGCCTCCACAGTTCAAATCATCTTCCATGCTCATATTAGAATAGTCCATTAAGCCTTTACTTAAAGCATCCAGTCACTCTTCTAGTCCAAAGCCCCAAAGTCTTTCATATTCCCTTAGCAAACAGCGTGGTCAGACCTATTACAGCTGTACCCCAGTTCCAGCAACACCTTTTGACTTAGTCACTGTTCTAGTGTTGTAAAGAGAAACCATGATCAAGGCAACTCTTTAAAAAGTAAGCATTTAATTTTTTGCAGTTCAGAGGCTTAGACCATTATTGTCATGGCAGAGAGCATGGTGGCAGGCACTCCTGGAACTCTCTCTGTAGACCAGGCTGGCCTCAATCAAACTCATAGAGATCTACCTGCCTCTGCCTCCCAAGTGTTGGGATTAAAGGTGTGCACCACCACTGCCCAGCAAGATTGTTAAATTTTTCTTTTCATGATTGTATTTCTGTGTCCTGATAAATTACTATTTCAAAGTTGAAAAGATATATTCCTATATTTTGTATGAGCTTCATAACTTCAGTTCCATATTTCCAGCTATGATCCATTTTGAATTAAATTCTTATTATGGTATAATATAGAAATTGAAGCTCTCCTCCCTTTCTTTATGTCTAATTGTTTCAATGTTTTTTAAAAAACACTTTCCTCTTTACCTACTTTGACTTCCTTGTTTTGAAAAATCATTTGATTGTTTAATTTGTGGGTTAGTTCATGGACTGTCTCTGTTACATTGATGTACTAATTCCCTGTCCTTTTGCCAGTATTAATTATTTTAAATATATTAGTTTGAAATCAGGTAGAGCAATCTCTTCATGATTGTTTTGATTATTTAAAGTCATCTTTTAATCACATGAATTTTAGAATCACCTTGTTTGACTTATAATTTATTTTTGTGTTGCTGGGAACTGAACCACTGAGTTACATTCCTATCTCCATCTTGTTAATTTCTGTTTTTCAGAAAATAGTTTTCTTTTGATGTTGGTTGTAACTGTGTCAGCTTCCTAGTGTAGTTTGGGGATAACTTACAAAATGCTGCATTTTCTAATACGTTATAATATTGTGCATCTGTCTGTTTAGGTCCCTGATTTCTCAGTAGTGTTCCGTAATTTTCATATGTAACATTTTATTAGTGTTAGGTAAACATTGTGTGCAGCCCTACTTCCGACACTTCCTACACTCAAATCATCCTTTGTACATACTTTCTTTTTACAATATAAATTAAGATTTCCTGTGAAGATTTTCCAAGTGACAACTTTATCTGATGGGTAGAGGAGAAGGGACTGTTATCTAGTCTGTCACGGTGCTAGAAATAGAAACTTAAACTGTCTTCAGAAATGTAAAACTAAAGATATTCCCAGGGCTGGGGATTTAGCTCAGTGGTTGCCTAAACATTTAAAATTAGAAGCTTAAAGCTGTGTAAATTCTTTCGGCTTGTGTGGTTTTGGCTTTGGATACTAATTTAAACTGGCTATGTTAATGCCTTGGTTCCTTTTTTTCTTCCTTCCTTCCTTCTTTCCTTCCTTCCTTTATTTATTTTTTTGTCAACTTGAAATAATCCAGCATTATCTAAGAAAAGGAACATTACATAGGCAAGTAAATGGGACATTTTCTTGATTAATGATTGATGTAGGAGGGCCTATCCTCCTGGGAATGTGATCCTGGGTGAATAAGAAAGCAAGCAATACAAGCTAGGGCAGACAAATCAGTAAGTAGCATTCCTCCAAGACTTCTGCCTCAGTTCCTCCCTCCAGGTTCCCTCCTTGAGTTCTTGTTGGAAGGAACCACGCCCCCCCAGTTGCTTTTTTTGGTCATGGTATTTTTCACAGCAGTAGAATCCTAACTAGGACAATTAACATGATACAATCGTTTAAGAATTTTAAAATTAATTTATTTGTGTGTGGGGTGCTTTGGGAGTCAGTTCTCTCCTTCTTCCGAATGGGTTTGGGGAACTAGCTCAAGCCATTGGGCTCAGTGGAAAATATTTTTATGCACTAAGTCATTTTGCTAGCCCTAAGCTTTTTAGAATCTGAAAAACAATAGTCTTATGAGTTTAATTGGAGCATACATTTTTACTAGCTTACATTTTATGATTTGCTTTCTTTTTTCTTATATTAGAACAGTAATACACAAAGAAGAAAACACTCTTATTACTCAGAAATGACTACAGTTAACATTTTCTGTTTATTTTCTCATACATGTAAGTTTGTGTTTGCACAGGTCGTTGGGAGCAGAGTTTAGTTCTGCTTCTTTTATTGAACCTGTTTTGCTTTCCTGAGCATATCTATATGTTATCTTGTCTTTAGATATTTCTCTTCAAAAATAAATGTATTTTTAAATTCAAGTATAAAACATGATAGAAAGTAAAAAACACTACCTGTCACTAGTAGTAATCAATTGTTTATATTTTTCTTCAAATAATTATGTTTAAAGAGATGTATGATGAAACTCCTCCAGGTAATTTATATTCTAATGCATATCTTAATACACCCACATGTTGATAAACTTTTAGGTTTCTGGCATTGGAGAGGTGGCGCAGTGATTAGGAACACTTGTTCTTGCAGAGGACCCAAGTTTGATTCCCAGCACCCACATGGTGACTCACAGCCATCCATAACTCCAGTTCTGGGGTATCAGATGCCCTCTTCTGACCTCCATGGACAATAGCAATGCATGTGGTGAACAGACATATGTTCAAGCAAAACACTCATATACATAAGATAAATGTTAAAAACAGGATTTATGTACTTATGTTGTTTTAAAAGTGTGTTGGTTGCTTCTAGACAGTGTCTTACTCTATAGTCTGATTTGAACTCAAAATCCTCCCACTTCAGCCTGCAAAATGTGCCTGGATCAAAGGTTTGAACCAGTGGGACTTTTTCTTTCCTTTTTTTTTTTTTTTTTTTTTGAGATGGAATCTTGCTATGTAGCTCTGGTTTAGGAGGATTAGGATGACATTTAATGTTTCTTGGTGCATGTCTCTAAGTTGGACATTTAAAAGTGGTGCCTCTGGAACATCACAAATCAGTGGTTCTCAATCTGTGAGTTGAAACCCCCTCAGGGATCATATATCAGATATCCTGCATATCAGATATTTACAGTAAGATTCATAACAGTAGCAAAGTTATAGTTATAAAGTAGCAATGAAATAATGTTATGTTTGGGGGAACACTACAACATGAGGAACCGTGTTAAAGGATCACAGTATTAGGAAGGTTGAGAACCACTGTTATACATGCTCTCCAGTAGTTTCTCAAATGGTGAAAAATCTACCACTAGAATGTTCTCCCATATCCTTCTAACCCAATTTATACTTTTTGTCAACTGGATATATGTATATATATATAGATAATATATATATTATATATATTTGTCTAGTGTTTTTTACTTAGGAAAATTATATTGTAAATGTTTATCAAGAAGCAGTTTCAGCCAGTAGCACACCCCATTAATCCCAGCACTTGGGAGGCAAAGGCAGGCCAATCTCTGTGAGTTTGAGACCAACCTGGTCTACAGAGCTAGTTCAGGACTGCTAGGGCTGTTACACAGAGAAACCCTGTCTCAAAAAACAAACAAACAAACAAACAAACAAAAAAAGAAGTTTCAGTCACAAATTAAAACTTTTAAGGAGTGAGTGTGTATGTGTGTGAGATGCATAGAAGACAGAGGACAACTTCGAGGAGTCAGTTTTCTGCTATGTTGGTTCCATAGATAGAATTCAAATGATGAAGCTTGCCAGCAATTGTCTTTACCCACTGAGCCATATCAGTGGCCACAAATGAAAACTTCCAGAAGAGTTTTGAATAAAAGCATTGCTTATATTTACTAATGGGGAGGGGGCAAAGGGGTTTACTGTAAAGAAATGTTAGCTGCTCTTGTAGTAGGGCTGATTGGAGAATTACCTAAAATATATTAACCCCTGGGTAGTGACATTTGTGTATATAATTGAGATAATTATTTGACTAACAAACCCATGCCCATTTTTATTTTAGTGAGTTTTTTTTTTG